TTCGTTACTCTACAGGAAAACAAATCCATTCGTTCAGAGTGTTCTGTATGTTGCAGACAAACATTTAGATCATGGCCCATGGAGCTGCCACTGGCGCGTCAGGTCTTTCTTGGCTTTCCGAATACACAGGTGTGTTAACCTGGTGTGGTGGAGGTGAAGCTCACGGTCTACAACTACCGAAAAGGTGTCTTGCAATGGAGCACATGCGCGCATCCAACAACCCGCCACCAGAAAACCTTGTCCAATATGTGACGCAATGTTGAGGAATGTCGGTAGCTCCAGTGAGCTGTTCTCCAAGCTTGGTAGTTGGATCGCGAAAGTTTCACTTATGATCAACGTGGCTTGTCCTCGATTGTTGGTGAAACGTTTTAAATCCGACTGCCAAGCTCGGTGAACAGACCAACAACCGAGTGGCATAGTACTGGTATTTGTTGACGCATCCCAAACACACCCGATGTATGCTGCTCTGCTAAGTGCCGATATTGTCCGACGTGAAATCTCATTTCTTCTTAAAGGAAACTAATCACAAGGTTACTGAAAACTCTTCGAGTAGTTCCCCTTATGAAAATATACTGCGATATCTCGAAAATTGTGCAAACTGAAACACCAGGTGGTCTTTATGCAGCATATTCAGTTGAAGAGCACCATAAACGAGAGATTCAGCTGTGTGGAAACCAAACTGATTTGAAAATGAGTGTATGTGTCGAATTCCATTTCTGGTCATCTGTGAACCATCCTCGATCAAATCGTAAGTATGTGTATCCACGAACATTGCGCTAGCAAAATCGATCATAGGCAACTTATCCTGCCTTCTTTCAGCGCTGTCTGTCAAGTATACCACCACGTATGCGCTGGACATGTGATCTTTGGTATCATCGTGATTGTTTCGGCATCTAGAAGTTGTAGCTTTACTTACGTGTACGACATGTGAGCGTCACTCCACCTCCCTTTAAGTCTCACTGGGGCCAGAAAGTTCATGAATAGCGCCTTCTGGCGCCTTAGTGTAACTGCTGGTAGAAGCAACAACAACGATCGAAAGCAAGCGTTATTGCGACCACATAGAAGATGTGTGACGGAAGAAGCCCAATTTGGGTGACAAATCGCAGAACCGGTAGAGTGGGGATATACTGGAAGTAGATTATCTACGTCAGACAAATAAGTTGACCTTTACCTGCGTTATGGACTAACTACTTCAAATGTGGCGAGGTCACTACAGCTATTCGGACGTCTTTTATGTTCAGGCACCCAAAGATGTTTTTTTTCTTTGCGGTGAATGGAATCTATGAATCCCAAATATTTTACCATAAAACATTATGGATGTCCCACGGAGGTCAACACAGCTTTGGAACTAACACGCACGTACCGGGTTCTGGTGATGCACCTTACAGTCTGTACATAACGAAGAAATAACAAAGTCCGTAGTTCTTGTGACTCGTCAGGTTGGCACGGCCCCTGAGTTTCCTTCAACGTTATATTTTTCTTGGTTCGAAATGGTATGCATTTCGTGAAGTAGACTCATTTGCCCACCAATGTGGTTTTAACGGGAGACTCAGGAATCCTAACCCAATCATCCAGGAAGAATACAGCGACCTCTCAAATATCGCATCAACTGTATCATGAGATGGTCTCTATGCAACATATTCAGTTGAAGAATATCACAAACGAGATGTTCGGCTGCGATACCATCCACTCTCTCGTTAAAACCAAACTGGTATACAACTGAGTGCATTTCGAGAAAGTTTCCATACTTTCAATGACTGGCCAGCACATAGTTGACAAGAGACTGATGAAAGCAGACGTTTTTCTCTCAGCAGGCGTTGCTAGCTTATGACAAATGATGAACGCGTTACAGGTGAGATACTTGGGATTCATTTTTAGAGTCCACTAACCTACCATAACTTGGTTATGAGATAAGAATGAAGGATACAGTGTACTGGGATGGTATTTGGATTGCTAACTGGCAAGTCTATCTTAGACGTATTACTAGCAAATGGTTTTGTTAACCATGGCGTCACTGTCGAAACCAAAAAGCAGTTAAGACTACTGATTGGTGTGTCCCACACTGTATCTCCTTTCTCCCGGTCAAAAGCTTCCCCTGCTTAAACCCACTGTCTTCTACATCTGCCTCACCCGCTTTCAATTCTGATGAAATTCTTCCTAAAAATTTTTGACTACTTGCGTCACGTGTTTTGTGTGCACGTTTGTCGGTAATTCGCATCGGTTTGCCGTTCTTGCAGGGCTTTCTTTGGACTTGCACCAATTGGTGCAACAAGTAGATGGAAATCCCCATGAGTTGAGGTTTGTGTCCGTTTCATATACACATTTTGTAACATGTAGTGCCGGATCTTGTTGATAAATCTCAAGAATTCGTAATGCTTGGCTTGTGATTTTGCGCGTCACTCACCTGGGCTTCCCAAAATACGTCACGTTTTCCATGCACACCAAAAATAAAACATTTAATTTGATGTATTGATAGTCAGCAAGCCTGCGTCCAACACTTGACGATAAAAGTAACCACATGAGGAGTCATTATCAGGAAGGTCAGACTCCTGAAATTAACCTCAGAACGCCCGGAGCCTACTGCTCCACCAAAATCTCAACAGGAAAGCCGGCAAGCATCCGGGCTTCAATCATTCAGTCAATTCAGCAAAAAGTCATGCACACCACAGAAGCACGACCGAATGTGATCGGCGTTCAGGCATTCCATTGAGGCACGATCGATGTTGACGGGTGTTCACTAACGCCCATCAGATGGCCTGGATCTATGTCAGAAAATGCCCTTTAAATAGCATGGGGCCGTTGTAACTTCTGGCTGTCGCACTCGTTTGTTCGGACTGTAGCTGTTGTGTTTCCTTCTGTGAGTCTTTTTTCAGGCACTTAGGCACTGGAGCGGGTCAGCAGCAGATACCACAGATTGGCGAAACAGCAGATACAACAGTCATGGTTATTTATAACGCACGTTTTTAACCGTCAGTTCATCCAGAAAACAAATATAGTCATTTTTGGGAAAGCAACTCACTACCCGTTTCGTTCTGATGAATGTAGCAGGAGCAACTGCCTGATGCTCACCTACACAGTTTACACGACG